GTGCCCCTGTCCCTGTCCTGTGCCCTTTAAGAGATGGTTGTGGGCTGCCTGGCCACCCTGGCACCTGCATCCTTGCCCAGGCCTCACTCAGGTGAGCTTAGGGCTTCAGCCCTGTGGCCCCTCTCCTCCAACCTCAGTCTCCCCATCTGAACAGCGCCGCCTCACGCAGGAGGTCCCAAAACCAGTCGTGGGTGGCAGTGGATCCACGGGCCCCTGCCCACCCGGGGGTCTGGCACACCTGCCTGATGTCATAGCCGTACATGTCCTTCTCCGGGCGCCCGTACACGACCCAGTGGGCCAGCTCCTGTCCGCAGCCGCCACCCAGCATCATCCCTGGGAGGAGCCGGCAGCTGCAGTTTGTCCCCGCCCGAGCCCCGAGCATCCACGCCCTCCAGCCCCCACACAGCATCCCCACACTCACCGGCACTGTTGAAGCCGCAGCCCAAGAAGAAGCCCCGCAGCTCGGGCGCCTCCCCCATCAGGGGCTTGTGGTCAGGCGTGAAGGACTCTGAGAGGGATGAGGCCAAGTGGCCAGGGTCTGCGGGTCCTCCCGCCTCAGACCCCACAGCCTGTGTGCCTGCCCGGCCCTGCCTAGCCCACACGTGGGCCAGGTCTGCCTCGGCCTCCTCCAACCTCCTGCCCCAGCGGCCTGGGCTGGGCCTGCTGGGCCCCGTCCACGCTCAGGCCCCTGGCCGTGCGAGGGCGGGACTGGGCTTCGTGTGCTTTCTCGTCCTCAGACCTAGCACAGAGCCCAGTGAACACAGGCAGTGTTCCCTGAGCGGATGAACCACCCTGCACTCCTCCAGAGAGGGGCTGGGCCTCTCGCTTCTGTCAGCTGTCAGGGCTCAGAGACCAGAACACGGTGGGAGAGCGACCCTCGGGTGCTTCACGCATGGTCCTGTGGGCAGAGGGCCCGGGAGCCACGGGGGCTCCCGCGAGTGCCTTCCCCGCCTGGACTCTGACCCCCAGCCCTGGGCCTGCCCACTTTGCTGCCCCTGGCTTCCTCGGCCCTAGGCCCAGTGCTTCCTGCTTCTGCTCTGAGGGGTCAAAGGCCATGGGCCATGCTGATGCAGACGCTGCGTCCCCACACCCCGAGGACACCCAGCACCCCAGCCTACCCGCCGCCCCCACTCAGGGAGGTCCCCGGCACCCAGGGATCTTGTACCCCTGGGACTCTCCCCTGTGGGTCCCACACGGGCCAGGGAGCCTCGGGTCAGTGAGTCACACTGCCACCCCTGTGTGCAGTGTGGCTGCCCTCCCTGGGGGCTGAAGCCTGCAGTGAGCTGGTGTGCAGACAGACCCATGGCCCAGCCCCTCCAAGGGGCCCTTCCCCTCTCCTGGCCCCGACGCTTCCTCCCGGGGCTCTGCTCCTCCTGGGAACCCCCGTCGGCATGTCCATGCGGGGCTGGCTGGCGCCTGCCCCCTGTCAACCCCAAAGCCTCTGTCCCCCCCTTTACCCAGAGCAGCACAGAGGTGCCACCCGGCCAGAGACCACAGCCCAGACACAGGGAGTCTCCCACCAGGTGGAAAGGGACTGCCCAGGAGAGCCCGCTGAGCCCAAGGGGAGCTCTCCTCCCTGCTCCTGTGTCCATTCCTCTCCCACTGCTAGCCTGCAGCCCTGCCCGGTGCCGACCTCCTCCCTCCTCTAGGTCACTGCTGTGGGTCCCTGTCCCAGCCTGGACCAAGAGCAGTGGCATGGCGTGGACCAGCAGCCACTGAATGTGGCATGGATGCTGCCAGCCAGGGAACTCAGGAGCCAGGGGGCTGGGGGGCTGTGGGCTGTACCACACACCACCAGTAGCAGCCTCCCGGGGCAGCATGGGCCCCATGACTCCCAGGACCTCAGCCCCTGACCCACCCAGGACAGCCAAGGCCTGTGACACCAGCCCAGGGAGGGGACAGTGGGCTCCACGGTGACCCACAGTGGACATCAGGGGCACAGCCCAAACTATCTCCTCCCTGGGGGTAGCTCAGGGGCCGGGGCTCAGGAAGCCCACTCTGGGAGCCTTTCAGAGCCAAGCTGGTCTGCAGCCCTGTTAGGTCCTGGCCTCTGAGACCAGAGGTTGGGGTTGAGACAGTGGCAGGGGCTTGTGGCCAGGCAGTCGGGGGAGGAGGGGACAGAGGCTAGCACAGGAGTCGGGACCAGGCCTCACAGGGTACAGGGACAGAGCCCCTCATTCCTGATTGCAGACAAAACCCAGAGTTCCAGCGCCAGAGGGTGGCACGGGCACCTTGGGCAAGGGCACCCCAGCCCGAGGGACCAAGGCCACCACTCACCCGGGCCACACACCGTGGACTTGATCCCCGTGGTCTCCAGCACGGGGACGCGGTTGATGGCGCCCTCGATGTGCTGGGTGAACACATCCCAGTCCAGGTCAAAGAGGCCGAAGGCGAACTTGTCCGACACCTGAGAGGGCCAGGATCCGGGGCAGGGGGCAGGGGCGGCTTCCGCTGGGTCAGAGGTCCAGGGGCACCGGGAGACCCCGTTTCTACCCCAACCAGCCCACGATTGCTTCCATGGCCTCCAGCAGTCACCCAGTCCCTCACTCCAGGCTGCCCGCCGCTGCCCCCATGACTCAGTGTGGCCCACAGAGCCTAGGGCAGCTGGCCCGACTACAGCCAAGGCCCTGGCAGCTGCTCCTCTGGGCTCTGCTGGATCTCCGTGAGCTGGGCCCCACCTGGGCCCCAGCCTGCAGGGCACCCTTAGCCCCTTTCTCTGGCTGACCCTTATCTTCCTAACTACAATCAGAGTCGCCATCCAGGAAGCTATTACTTATCTGTTTGTTTTTTGCTTGTCTCCCTACCAAATTACAGGCATCTTAGGCAGGACTTTTATCTTAGCTGGGCTCCCTCCTTCTCCAGTTAGGCAGCACCCAGTCCTTCTGTGTGTGGACTGAAGGTGTGGGCCCTGCACTCAGCCTAGAGGCTGCAGGGACCAGCACCGCTGCCAGCTGCTGGGCTCTGGCCACTGTACGCTGTTCTGCACGTGCGTTTCTCCATCCCAGGGTCCCAGGCAAGGTCTCACCTCCTCCCAGAAGATGGGGTTGGCCTCATAGCCACCCACAGACAGGGCGTCCCCTTGCAGGCGCAGGTAGACTGAGGCATCATGGTCGCGGACGTTGGGCATATTCTGGAGGGCAGGGCAGGGGCCATGGCACTGGGCAGGGCTGGGGCCTGGGTTCCCCATGCCCTGCCATGGGCCCTGCACCTGCTTCCGGCGTCACCGGGAGGGTGGACACCGGGGCCTCCTTCCAGCTGCAGGACCCGGGGCCGAGTGGACGGCGCCTCCTGCCCAGGTCTCTGCTTCCCTGAATCCCCTCAGAGAGCAGCAGAGGAGCAAGAAGGAAGGCCAAGGGCGGTGTGGCCCCCAGGGAAGGGGGGACGTCAAAGCCCCCGGCCGTCCCTCACAACCCGGCCACCCCACAATGGATCACAGGTTCCAGCCGGGCAGTGAGCTGACAGCAAAGTAAAACCCGGCCTCCGGTCATGGAGAAAAAAGGAAGAAGGACGCTAACCACTGTGTAGCCAATAAACAAAGCCATCAGAAGGGGAGGGCAAGAGATGCACAGCACCAGGTCCCTGGTGGAGCTCTGTCCTCTGTCCTGGGCACACTGCAGATGACCACATGGCACTCAGGGATTTGCGGGGAGCAGATGGGTCACCTGGCCAGCCCCACCCAGTGGAGGGTGTCCTCGAGGGGGCCCAGAGTGCTCTCAGGGACTGAGCCCTGCTGAGAAGCGATGCTCCCACCCCACTCCAAACACAAAGAAAACCCAGAGCACGAGCAGGACAGTGGGGACACCTGGTGGCCAGCAAAGCCTGGACTTCTGGTCCAGCATGACTGGCGTTCCGGGCCCTGCTGCCGTGAGGGCCCAGCAAGCTCCACGCAGCACCCACATGGCCCCCGCATGCCCACGGCCCACGCCGCAGAAGCCCACCCTGTCCCCTGATGTCCCTGTCTCCTGACCACAGCCTGGCCCCCTCCAGTGCTTCGCGCCAGCCCCAGATCATCGTCACTGTCACCAGAGCTCCCCATAAGCACCTCCTTTCTCGTCTACCCTTAGCACAGCTCAGAAGGAAGATACATCCCCACCCAGGCTGGGAAGGGGAAACTGAGGCTCATAGTGGTAGCGGAGGAGTGGGATTCAAAGCTCATCTGGTTGTACAGCACCTGTGTCCGCAGGAGCAGCGGTAGGACTATGGGAAGGCAAGGGCTCAGGGGGCACCGGCCACTGCTCTCATGGATGCCCCTCGGCTCGGTAGAGCTTGTTCTCTGACCCAGCGGTGGGCGTCAGTGTATGGGGCCCCGTCACCTCCCAGAGCCTCTGGCTGGGCAGCTGTCACCAGGGCCAGTGGGTGGAGGGGCCAGGGGGCTCAGTTTGCAGCCCAAATCCCTGTCTCCTGCAGACTCTCAGAGCTCCTGCGGCTGACAACCAACCATGCCCTTGTGCCCTGGTACCCAGAGGCACAAGGGACCCAGACTGGCTTCGTAAATAACCCCAGCTTAGCCCTAACCTTGAAATTCGTGGGGTGCAAGGAGGTAAGCTCTGCCCAAAGAGAGGGGCTCGGGAAGACATCAGGGACAGAGTGAGGGCACCCAGGCCTGACTTGGTGGGCTTCCCGGCCTCCCTCCTGCTTCCAGGACTTGGCTTTTGTCCCCATCCCATGCTCTGAGCCTCAGCCTGGTCCTCTGGGAGCCACAGTGACCAGAGAGCAGCCCTGGAGAGCACTTAGGCAAGCAGGCTGTCTCTACACACCTCGGGACCACGGAGCCGAGACTGCTCTTTGTCCCATGCCCCTAACTGGCACATGGAGGAGGCTGCCTCCTCCACAGGAGTGTCCGCTGACTCCGTGTCTGGGGCCGGCCTACCAGGCTCCGTTTCCCACCGCACATCCTGCCTTCTCCACCCAAGGCCCGCACAGCAGCCAGGCCTGGCACCTCCCAGCCACCAGGCAACCAGGATGGGGAGGCCTGGTCCCTTCCAGCCCACAGCCTGCTGAGCCACCCAACAGACCTGCCTGCCGTGCTGGTCACCCCCTCTCCACCACCCGCGGACCCTCTGGAGACTTGGCCGCCTGCTCCAGGGAGCCCAGGAAGGACCCACAGTTCCCAGTCCCGGCTGTGCTGTGGTGAAGGGAGCCACAGAAGGATGGGCTGCGAGTGAACAGTGGGGCTGGAGGAGGCATCCAGGAAGAGTGGGTGGGGAGAGAGAAGGAACGAGTGGGGTTCAGGGATAAAGGGACGGGGAGCAAAGGGAGGAGGGGAGGGGACACAGGGCAGGAGGAGCGGGGGGGGCGGCCCAGGTCCAGCCCCCAGCAGAGGGCTGACAGAGAGGCTCAGCATGCCGGGAACGGTGCCCTCCAGGACAGGCACCCGGAGCTACCTGGGAACATGTGAACACCCCGGGTTCCCTGAAACTCTTTTTTAAATTTAATTTGCTTTAATTTAGGCAGTGCTGGGGATTGAACCCAGGGTCTTTGCTCTGAGCTGCACCCCCAGCCCTTTTCGTTTCTTCATTTACTTATTTCAAGAAAGGGTCTCAGTCACTAAGTTTCCCAGACTGGGCTTGAACATGCGATCCTCCGGCATCAGCCTCCCGAAATGCTAGGATCACAAGCATGTGCCACCCACCCAGCTTACAAGGTTCCCTGAAACTCGGTCACACAAGACGGCAACCAGCTGGGCCGTGTGCCCCACACGGGTGCAGGCCGGGCTCGGAAGGCTGAGGAGCTTGGCACCATCAGGGCTCCCCTGGGGCGGCTTGCTCGACTCTACCAGCGCTACCGTCCCCGGGTCACAGGGGAGGCGGCTGAGGCCAGGGCAGCGAGGGACCCCAGGAGAGTCGGGTGTACCGAGCTGGGCTCCCCACATGTGGACCCAGGCCCACCTACCTGGATCCCCTCGATGCGCTCCGTGACGACGTAGGCATGGTGCATGGCCACCAGGGGCACCTTGACTCCAGCCATCTGGCCCACAGCGCCTGCCCACACGCCTGCAGGCACAGCACAGGCAGCTCAGCTCTGCGGGCACCCAAGTGGCACAGGGCACTTCTGCAGGCCTCTCTGCCTGGCCGGGACCCCAGGCCCAGAGGGAAGCCCCGTGGACAGGGGGCCGGGTGAGGGGCAACAGGAGTCAGCAGAAACGCCACTGCCACCTGCACAGTTGACCAGGCGGGGCGTCTGGATGGAGCCGTGATCTGTCTCCACAGCCGCAACACGCCGCACCCCAAAATCATCAGTCCGCACACGGATGCCCGTCACTGGGCAGTTCTCGATGACCTGGGGTGACAGGAACTGCTCATAAAACCACAAGGGCCTCCCGGGTGCTGATTCCGCCCCTGGGGACCCGGGGATGCCGTGTCTGCTAGGGCAGCACTCGTGGGAACGGAGATGAGGCCACAGCCCCGGGGCATGGAGCCCACCCGTCCCTGCACTGGTCACATGAGAAAGTCGGCTTCCTAAAGTTGAAATCAGGCTCCTCTGTGGAATGGAAAGACTCGTGGTTAATATAGTGTGTTTGCTTCGTTCTTAAAAGGTCACAAAACTCCCTTCTGAGCACACATGTATCTTCACAGAAAAAATTTGGGGTGCAACACACTAGACACTGGTTACTGCGGGGCGGCTTCTCTGTCTGCACTTTGCATCTTTGTCTTTTTAAGTCTTTCTACAACTCCGTGCAGGATTGACACAAATGAAAATGAAAATTACAGGAAGGGGTGCTAAGAGTATTTGCTCTGCTCTCAGGGTTCTGAGCACAGGCGAGCTCAAGCAGGTGCCCTGAGCCGGTGGCCATCAGTACCTGGGCTCCCCGGGCCACGGCCGCCCTGGCAAGGGTGGAGCAGGTGCCAGCAGGGTCCATGGTGCCATCCTGCGGCACATACAGGGTCCCGTAGAGGTCGTCCACCTTCATGAGCGGGTACAGAGCCTTGGTCTCCGAAGGACTCAGCACGTGGGACTCCACGCTATAGGCCTTGCCCAACTAGGGAGCCAGAGGAGACTGAGCGGTGGGAGCCATTCTGGAAGCTTCCGGGCCACCAGCTGGGTCACAAAACAGCTCCAGCAGCAGGTGAAGGAGGTGGCCCTGGGTCAGACCCCTGCTACCCAAAGGCTGGCCAGCTCTGCCACCAGGGCCTGAGGGGGTGGAAATCCTTTAGCAGGTGATAAAGAACAGGGCCAGTACGTGGTGCAAAGGGTTTATTACCTAAAATATATAAAAATTACCTCGACAGTGATTACATTTTGGGCCTGGGAATCTGGTTAGCCCAGGTCTAGGCTTTGCCTAGAGAAAGGAAACTGCTCCCTGCCGGATTAGGAACTGACACAGACCACGCCTCCACCACATTTGATTGGCCCAAAGCAGCCAATCAAGGGTCCCTGGGCCTGAACTAGGAAGGAGCTGAGCTAATCAGATCTCCATCTGGAAATATGAATGAAGCGGGTCCAAATCTCCACCCTGGCCTTACTCTCAAGGGGCAGGTAGGCCAGGATTTGAGTCCAGTGCACTCTGGGCTCCTTTGCTGGGCCAAGGCAGGCCCCACCCTAGGGAACCCATCACCGCCAGCCCTTTGGGGAGCTAACCGCCCACCAAACCCTTCCCTTTAGCGCCCTGCCCCATGCACCCACCGACATGAGCCTCTTGTACTCGTCCAGGCGCTGGCGGCTGGACGCAATGAAGAGGCCCCCGTTCTGGATCCAGCCCGTGTGCAGCCCGGTCTCCTCCTCCAGCCCTTGGCTCACCAGGCGCCTTGTGTGGGCCAGCAGCTCCACCTCCACGTCACTGGGCCGCAGCTGCCACAGCAGGCCTGGCCGGAAGTGGGTGCAGGCAGTTCCCCACCCAAGAGGCAGGCTGCACCCCTGCTCCCCACCCAGTATCAGTGGCGGCGGGCAGGAGGGTGAGAAGTCGGGCCTGATCACAGCCGGAGACCCTGAGGCGGCTCAGAGTGATACCAGCAGGCCCCCACCCCAGAGTGAACCGTCCGGGAATAAGCAAATGGGCCACTGGGAGAGCGTTTTCCAGCACAGCCCAGTTACAGGGCAGGGGCAGCGTCGGCTTCCCAGTGGACATGCAGCTCTGGGTGCTCAGGAGGCCCCAGGGGTAGGTAGGAGGGTGCCGGCCAGCAGCCCCACCCTCTCCGCCCAGCAAGTGCCCCTTGCAGGGCTGTCTCTCCTGGGGAAGGCGCTTGGCTCGTGACAGACAGTACAGGCGCTTCAGCCCCCGGCCGCCTGGGCAGCACAGCCCTCTTCACCGCAGCCCTTCCGAGACTGGGGGCAGCGGCGTCCCCGCATCTGCCCTCTCCAGACGACCAGCGGCTCCTCCCCTCCAGCTCGCTGCCTCTCCCAGGCTCCTGCTGCCACCCACGCTGCACCCACCTGCACCCCGCGTGCACCCAAGCCCTACCTGCTGTGTGCCACGTGGTCCCTGCCGTCAGTCGCTCCCGTTCCAGCAGCACGGCCCCTGCCACACCCAGCTTGGCCAGGTGGTACAGGGTCTGGCAGCCCAAGCTGCCCCCACCAATGACCACCACGCTGGCCGTGCTGGGCAGGGGCTGGCTGGGGCCTCGGGCCTGGGCCTCCTCCTTCAGGGTGCGCTGGTAAGGCACATTCTTCTCTGCCCGGGGACCCGGGGCTCCAGCCAGCGCCTGCAGCCGAAGGCGCTGAGCTGGTCTCCATGGAGGGCAGTTGGCGGCCACATGCAGGGCTCGGCTCAGTGAGGCCATGGGCACTCAGGCCCCAGGAGCTGGAAGAGAGCTGGGCTAGGGTACTGAGGACACACATGGTGGCTGTGCTGTGCGCCAGGCCCTGCTGCCCGGGGCTCCCCCTGCTGCCTCTTGGGTGTGGGTGCGCCCCTCTGCTCGCCCACGTGGACAGAGGCCTGGGGTGCAGCAGGGTTGGCGGGGCAGAGCCACAGTGGGTGGGAGGGCCGTGAGCCCAGAGGAGGAAGAGAGGAGGGGCCGGCGTGGCTGGCAGGAGCCCACAGTGGGACCTGGGAAACTGGGGCATCCAGGGTGGGAGGACAGCGAAGGCGGGGAGAGACGAGAGGACTGAGGACCAGGGACCGAAGGGAAAAGGAGCCGGGTCCTGTGGGACACTGGGGACCCAGAGATCATGGGGAGAGGCCGGAGGTGGAGGGGTCAGCGCGGGGCCTTGCCAGCTCAGGACAGGCAGGGACACCTGTGGGCTGGCAGGATGCCCAGCGTTTCCCGGGACCAGAGGCCCCATTAGTCTGTTCCCTCCCAGCAGCCCGAAGTCCTTCAGTCACCAAGGCAGAGCCACTCAGGTTTGAGTACTTCGGGCAGGAAATGGATGCTGGGCAAGAGCCTCCCACCCCTCTGCCTCCTGCTCCTCCACCCTCCCTGCCCTCCAGACTCCGTCCAGACCCCCCTCCTTCAGGAAGCCCTCCGGACCTCCCCAAGAACAAAGATGGAAGACCAACACCAGGAGCCCAGGGTGTCTCCCACCAGACATGGGGCAAAATGCCTCAAGGGGCTGCCAGGGCCCTGTCCCCAGCCCAGCAGGACCAGGAAGACACTGGCTGCAACCTGCAGGGCCACCTGTGTGGCCTTAATGTGATAGCACCAGAGGCGGGGTCTGCAGGTGCCCCGGGGTAACTAAAGCAGGGCCTCGGCCTGACCTCTGTTCCTGCATCTGTCTCCTTCATCGGGGCAGACACTGTTTGGCCCCGTGTGTGCACCTGACCATCACGACACTGGCGTCTGTAGCTCAGGGCTTACGGGGCCTGCGTCATTCCCTCCAAGGCTGGGAACACCCGGACAAGAGCACCAAATGGGTTGGCAGGTGCAGAGGACCATGACACTGGCTGTGCCCAACGCAGGCATCGTGAGCCCCACACCTGGCTGTTTACAGGAGTGAGTCTGGCCGAAGCCTACGTGCCGAGGTCAGAGGAACTCACACCCGAATTCCGTTCCCACAACTAAAACCTTCAGACCGGAAGGACAGTGTTCTAATTACAAGCATATATTTTTGTCTATTCTGTTCCCGAGAATGCGCCGTCTGGTCCTTTATGAGCCTTGTTTACATTAATTTCCATAGCAACCTTTTCCCCAATTGATCGCCAATAAAAGTCAGTGCCCGGGACCGACTAGCACCTGCATCGGTCAGTCACACAGGCCTTGGTCGTCCTGACCCTGCTTTCTCTCCCAGCTCTGTCTCTCAGTGTACTTTGCCCTCAGGCCTGCGTCGTGTACTGGGCTGCTGGGGACTGGAAACTGACTGCAAGGGTCTCCGGCAGGCAGGGACACCCCAGCACCAGTTCCCAAGTCCCCGGGAGTGACACCTAGAAGTCTCCCATTGCATCCCACCCCTGCAGCCACCTTGGGGTTAGGGAAAGCAGAACCTCGTGTTCCCCACCACCATGAGGTCACCCCAAAGTGGGAGCTGACCCTGTGATGGGAGCCAAGGTCGCCCCCTCCGTCTCACCCCGGGACCCAGCTGCCCCCTCAGGCCGGCCCAGAACCTTGAAGAACCCGTGCTGAGACCCCCGGCGGGCCAGGTCTCCACCAGGACCCGCACTGCCCCTTCTGTAAACCGAGAGGCGGCCTCCAGCCTTGGTCCCCTCCATCGCCTGCCTGTCACGCCCGGGTCCTTGTCTGGCACCGTGGTCGATTGGAACCCGAGAGCCAGAGGGTTTGCCCTAAGACTCGGTAACACACACCTGGCATCGGTTAGCTAAGACAGCTCTCATCGACCGACCCGGCTGTTTAACAGCTGTGTGGACTTAGGGGCCGTCTTCTCTTCTTTCCTACCGTTCCGTCCGCCTTGTTCATGGGTTCTCTATGTCGTTTTCTGCACAGCACACCTTGCTCGTGCAGGGCTGTACAGTGCTGCGGTTCTGTGTTCTGGTCTACATTATAGCACTGGGTGTAAGTTATGCAGACAAAAGCAAGGCTGGAGCCGGGGGTGCAGCTCAGTGGTGCTGCCGCTTGCCTCACAAGTGCAAGATCCTGAGTTCGATCCCCGGTACCAAAAAAAAAAAAAAAAAAAAAAAAAAAAAAAAAAAAAAAAAAAAAAAAAAAAAAAAAAAAAAAAAAAAAAAAAGTTAAAGCCATGGAGTTGGAGCCTCCCTTTGACCATGGCTGTTCTGACCACCGTAATGTACGTGCTCTACCATTTAACTCTGTTGGTAAACGAGGAATGCCTGTAATTTACTAAGTCACTTCTACTGCTGCTCTCCTGCAGACGTGACTGTCCCGTTTCACAGAGAGGACACTGAGGCACAGAGAACCCACAGGTGACCGAGGTCTCAGGGTCACAGTGCTGGGCACAAGGCCAGGCCCTGGGAGCCTGAAGCCTGCCAGCTCCCCTGCCGTGACCCAGGCCCAGTGGGGCTGGGTGTGAGGACTCCCAGGGCAGCGGGCACAGCAGGGAGCCGGGCTCTGTTCTGTGAGGCTTTGAGGCAGGAGGAGGAGTTGCCGGCGGGACCCCAGAGGTGTCACCTTTGCCCGTGGGGTGACGCCTGCCCTTCTGCGGGCTGCAGGACCCTGCATGGGCCCCTCTCCGTGCCCACCTTGGGTCCTGGATGGTGCTCCTCTTCCAGGAGTCCCGACGGGGAGTGGGTAAGAGGCTCAGAGGGGACTCTCCAAGCAGGCCGGGCACATCTGCAGAAGCCGCCTCTCCTCCCACTGAGCCTGGCACAAACGCCGCAGGCCTGGAGCACCACGTGCCCCGACCAGTCCACGGTCTCCCGCCTCCTCCCACAGCAGCTGCTTCAACGTTAACCCATGCGGCCTGCAGCTCCCTTCCCTTCCCTAGGCTCAGGAGTCAGAGCTGCGGCAGGCGGGGATCTCGTCAGGGGCTCGGGCGGCACCCCAGTCTGGCTGGGTGCCTGGGCGTGGGAAGGCAAGGGGCCAAGCAAGGAGTCCGCTGGGGCGCCCCGGCTGCTTGCCGCCCCACAGTCCCTGCAGCCAGCTGAGCCGCACCAGCCCCCTCCCAGGGAGGCCCGCCCTCCCCTCCTGGGGACCAACCTCCTCCACGTCCCTCGACGGTGGTGGCAACGCCACTGCCTTCCTTCCCAAGCCGCGGTCTGGTTGGAACAGGCCACCCTCCCCCTCAGCCTGCCCATTGTCCCCGCCCCCAGCGTGGGCGGGACACACCGCCAGCAGGGCCCAGGCCCCGCCCAGCCAGACAGCCGCTAAATGGGCAGCTGGGCTGCGGACCGGAGCCGGGGCCCCATCCATCCCTGTGGTGACCTGGCAGGTGACCTCTCCTCTCCAATGCTCACTTTCTGTCCCTAACACCGGGTCCCAAGGTTGCTGTGGTGACCCTGCCTGTCCCAGGAGTGGCAGTGTTGCCCACCCACACTGAGGCTGCCCGGGAGCTCATTCTGGCATGGACAGAGCCCAGTCCACTTGGCCCACCAGGATAGGCCCCACACCCCTAAATCCTGCACTCCAGCACTCCTGACGCACCCTTACGGTGACACCAGCTCTCCCACTGCGCAGAGCCCAGCCCCTGACGGGATTCCTACTTCCATGACTGCCAGGCTCCCCAGAGCCCAGAGGGGGGCCCAGCAGGCCTCAGGCCACACAGCCAGCTGGGAGTGGTCGGACCAGATGACCGACCCAGCTGGTCTGGGCATCTGCCCATGGCAAGTAGAAGCAGGTGCCCAGAGAAAGCCGGGGAGAACAAGAACCTCTGGTGACCACCACCAGCCACAAAGGGACACGCAAGGCAGCACCACTGTATTGCAACCAAACAGCTGTGCTCCGGCCGTCTCTGTCCTGCAGTCAGCCTGTTGGACTTCTACACCAGCGGTGCGCCTGGTGTGTAAAAAGCTTCACTGGGAGGCACACAGACCACCCCCCAGCCCAGAGCCGCCCTGGGTGTGAGGAGGTTGGGGCTCAGAAAGCCGACACACTCGGGAGGGGGTCCTGGCGGGACAGGGCCATGCCCGAGCAGGCTGTCCTTCCTCCAGCGGGGACCAAGAAGGACATCCTGGAGGACGGTCTGGGCTCTGAGGCTGCTGCGTGCCGACCCCATCCTCCGTCCCTGCATGGAGGGCAGAGGGGCCGTCCCTGGGCCCCAACACCCACCTCACCCTGGGCTTCCCTGGGACAACACAAGTCCTGCACGGGGAGGGGAGACCAGCGTGGCCCCTGTCCACACACTGTGGCCTGACCCAGAGGAGAGACTGCGCCCTAGGCAGGGCAGGCAGGGCAGGCAGGGCAGCCTGACTCCCCTTGCCCTGAAGCCTGAGGCCAACCTGGACTCTGGACGCGGGGCGGAGGCCAGGGACAGGACCTGGCGTGGGCAGTGTGGTGGGACCTGTCATTGCAACACCCTGCTGGGGAAGGGACAGGAGGGCAGGCCAGCTCCGGGGTGGAGGTACGGGCGCCCATCTGGGATGCCGTCACAGGTCCTGCTGCCACCCTGCACCCCCTCGGGCTGCTCTCAGCACCTGTCCCTCCACTGAGACTCAGTTTCCCCATCTGAGAAGTCAGTCTGTCCCCTGCGATGCCAGTTTCATAGATGTTTCGTAATGTCCCCTGAGGATTATTGCTCTCTCCTTCTTGGATTTGAGGAGCATGTGGGAATCATGGCTGACTTACTTTTGGGGGTGACAGGCACCCCCAGATCCCAGATCCAAGGGAGGACTGCACTGAACTCAGCCGTCTGGGGGCTCCCCTCTGGCCCAGGGGCCTCCCACAGTGCCTGGCTGCTGCTGGCCTTCTGGGATAGAGCTGATCACTGGCTGCCCTCTGCCAGGCAGAAGTCCAGGGTGGCACAGGACGGGTCAGCGTCCTCCACCAAACTCCACGTGCGGCCCTGCGAGTAAGGACCACAACGGCCCAGCTTAGGAGCCCTTCCTCCGTCCCCCAAGCAGCACCAGTGTGGGGGACCAAGGGGCAGCAGGACCCCAGGTGCCACATCCCAGAGAGTCACAGACCAGGGGGATGGACAGCCAGGATGCTTTGGAGCTGGATTTATATGAAAGGTTTTATTTTTCCAACAAAAACTTTAAAACACACTCACACACAACCCCAAATGCCTCCCTGCACTGACCCTGGGGCCAGATGAAGACAGGATGCTCACATCTCATCCCAAGGTGAGGCTGACCGTTCCCCAGAGGAGCCTCAGAGGAGTCCCTTTCTGTCCTGGCCAACTGAGGCGTCTGCTGCCCAGGCATGGGGTGAGAGCAGCTGGTGCCAGGCCCCGGGTGCAGTGGCTCCTCTCCTGGGTGCCACATCCCCCACTTGTTCCCACCATGCTTTGCGTGTGGAAGGGCTGCTCCCCACTCTGAGCCCGTGCTCTTGTGAAGCTGGCTTTGCAGGGCACACTTGTCCAGCTGGCCACAGTCCCCGCTCTGTGCTCTTGGCCCCTTGACACGTCCCACTGGCCCCGGGGACCTCTGCCTTCCCAGCTGCTGAGAAGACCCCTGGCTGCCCTCTCAACCCAGGCCCTAAGGCACGCACACCCTGGCGGTGCCAAGCGAGCCAGAAACTGGGTGCATTTGGGCTCTGGGGCTGCAATGCCGCCAGTGCCCAGGCGGGGGCAGCAGCACTGTGCTGCAGGAGGTTGGGCCATGGTGGGAAACACCGCCCCCGACGGCCATGGGTTAGTACTGCATGCTGGGAAAGAACGACTGGGGGGAGGAAACGACCAGGATGCTCCCAGGAGAGGGGCAGCTGCGCTCTCCCACACCCCAAAGCCCCTCCCTTAAGCAGGACAGAGAAAGGGGCAACCCCAAAGGAGAGGTGAGCGCGGAGGCCCTGCTCCAGGGAGCAGAGAGCATGGCCCCTAGCAGCTTCCCCTCGCTGCCCCGTCAGCTTCAGAAGGGGAGGGTTACACACCTCTAGGTGGCTGGGAGTCTCCCGCGGCACCCGTAATTCCACCTGGCTTTGCACCGCGTATTTTTTTTGTTTGGTTGGGTTTTTTGTCTGTTCGTTTGAGATAGGGCTGCACTATGTAGTCCGGGCTGGTCTCAAACCTGGGGCAATCCTCCTGCCTCAGCCTCCCGAGTGCTAGGATGCCAAGTGTGTACCGCCACTCCAGCTTGCTGTGTGCTCAGGTCCTGGATGGTGCATATGCCTTCGGTGTCCCCTGGTTATCACTAAATACGGAGCCTCTCGTGAAGCAGTGCGTGGCTGTCTCACTGTCTGGCTCGGCACGTGGGCCTATTTCCGAGGTGTGAATCCGCCCTCTGCCCTGAGCTGAGGGGACGCAGGCACTTGGGTGCCCACACTATTGGCTCCACGAGCAGGTTCCCAGCGCCGCCGCCCTCGCACTCCCACCTCCTGCCCCCAGGCCCCAGTTACACAGGGGTCGCTGCCTCCGACCCTGGCCTGGCGTCGCCCTTCCACCCTCTGCTTTCAGTGTTTCCGAGACACCGCGTCTCCGCTTACCCATAGCTTGGTCACTGGCGGTGACACCGTCCGCAAAGGGGAAGGCGGAGTCGAAGCTCAGCTGCAGGGACGAGGGCCACAGGGATGGGGCTGGACCCGCAGACCGAAAAGGGAGACAGCCCGCGGGGTTCGGGGAGAGAGACGGGGACACAGCAGCAAGCTGCCCGCGGCCAGGTAAGGTCCAGCCAAGCCGCAGGCTGGGGAGAAGCAGAACCCATTCCCAGCCAGCGTTCTGGGTGGTTTTCTCCCTCTACAACCAAAACCCAGCCAAGCTGGTGTGGGCTGCCTGTGTGCAAGAGTCACGCGCAGCGCGTTCTGGAGTCCAAGCGGGGCTGGGCCAGGAGTCTCAGCCCAACATTCCGCGCATCGCATTCTCCACGTGAACTAAAGACACTTCCGGGAGGCCGGCTGCCTCTCTGCCAGGCAGAGCCCCGAGGCCATCAGGTCTTGTGTTGGGCTGCGGCTCCCTCCGAACCAAGACCCAGGGTGGATCCGTTCCCAGCCTCCTCTGCAGCCAGCTGCGGTCACCGGACCCCGCGGTGGAGAGGCGGTGTGGCTTCAGGGCGTGTCCTCAGCGGGCGGACCCGGGGTCAAAGCCTCAGCTTGGGAGGTCACACGGGAGCCCAAGCAGCCACACCCGCGGAGAAGGGCGGAGAAGGCCTCGGCCCCTGACACCGCGGAGGACAGTCCCAGCCCGGGTCACTCCTGGAGCACTGGGGGTCACCTTACGGTCTCTTCTGCCCAGCTGTCCCCCAAGAGCCTCAAGAGTTCAAAAGCCGGGCTTCTGGAATAGGACCGGACCACCGAGCTCGTAGCTGACCCACTGCTAGGAGGCGGGGCCTGGCTGGGGGCGGTCACGGGGTGTGGCCTCGAGGGTTTCGTCTCCACCCAGGCCCTCGCTCCTCCCTCCTTCCGGTCCACCGTGCCGTGAGCAGCCGCCTTTCACTCACAGAAGCTGTCACTCTCGTCTGATGGGCGGGCAGTGACCCGGAGCAACCCGTGCAGAGCTGCGTTGCTATGTGCATGAGGCAGGTTCATCTTTCTCGGAAAGGCAAAACCCAGACTTCGATTATTAAGACAAATGCAGGCGCCGGTATCAAGTTGTGACCAGAGAGAACAGCCTGAATGCAACCCACAGACATGGTCAGAGCCGGTCGCCAGAAGGCCTGCCCTGTGGCAGGGCCCCGCCCGCAGCAAGAGGTGATGTCTCCGCCGGTAATTTGCACACAGTTAATACCTTTGTAATTTTCCACTTGGAAAAATTACCTTTTAAGTGGGTAATTTGAAAACGCTTAACGGGTACTGAAATTTTTGTTCAAGGAATAAATGCTTTGTTCCAATCTGGAAAAATGAACAGCAAGCAAAGCTAAGAAAGCTTAGGATGGGCCGGGGATGTAGCTCAGCGGTTCTGCTGCCTTTCCCACAAGCACAAGGTCCCAACTTCAAACCCCAGTGCCGGGGGAAGATGGCAAAAGCTTAGGAAGGGCAAGGGTCAGAAAGTGAAGCTCACCCTGGGTTTCTTCCTTAAGCAGCACCCACTGACAAGGCCACGGCTGGAGGCAGCAGTACCGTATCCTACCCGTTTTGAAAG